AGAAAACAAACAAATAAAAAACAGCTAGATAGTGATGGTACACAGAGAAACAGTGCCCAGTCTTTCTTTTTTTTTTTTTTTTTTTGACAAGGTTTCTCTGTACCTTTGGAGCCTGTCCTGGAACTTGCTCTTGTGGACTAGGCTGGCCTCGAACTCACAGAGATACACCTGCCTCTGCCTCCTGAGTGCTGGGATTAATGCGCTACCACTGCCTGGCTGAAACAGTGTTTCTAAAGCCAAAACAAAACTGCATGGTGGCAGCCTAGGAGAAGTGGAGACAGGTGAATCTCTGGGCCAGTACAGGCCACGTGGCAGGTTTAGGCCGATGAGGGGCCCCATATCAAAAAACAGATTATAAGTGTAAGGAACAATACCAGGGCTATCCTCTGGCCTCATAATGCCTAAGTGCATACATAAGAACCCACATATATGTGATCATGAATGCATAACACAGGATGATTGTGATGGTCATGTTTTTAAACATGTCAGGCTGACCTGGAACTTTCTCTGCCTGCCTCTGCCTCAAGTGTCTGGTGTTATGCTGTGTCTTTATTATACTTGTAGTTTGACTGAAGGTCCAGGCGAGATCACCTGGCATTTTCTATATTTCGTTGATGCTCAAAATTTCAAAGTTTTGGAACATTTTGGATTTCAGATTTTTGGTTCATTTTGCTTTTATTAATTGGAAAACAGGTCTAGCGAAATACATTTACTTACTTAACGTATGATGGTATTTGGTGTCCGGGTTCATATCATCTGTGGCTCAATCTGTAAAGTAGAGTACCTTGTTTTTAAAATAGTCAAGACCTGCTTCTGTTATGGTGGGCAGATGTGGCTGTTTAAAAGTAAGCTGGGGGGCTGGAGAGATGGCTCAGCGGTTAAGAGCACTGGCTTCACTTCCAAAGGTCCTGAGTTCAATTCCCAGCAACCACATGGTGGCTCACAACCATCTGTAATGAAATATGCTGCCCTCTTCTGGCCTGCAGGGACATATGCAGGCAGACCACTATATACTTAATAAATAAATAAATCTTAAAAAAAGAAAGTTAAAAGTAAGCTGGACAGTGGTGAGTGCTTGTAATCCCCATACTCGAGAGGCAGAGCCAGTACTGGAACGTAACCATGCCTCAAGATAGAGGTTAGCCTGGGCTACATCCTGAGACCCTGTCTCAAGCAAACAAGCAGTTTAAATCACACAAAACTCAGGTGCATCTCCCGCATTGTGCTGTCACAGTTTGAGCGCTCACCAGTGCATGTGTGGTGGTGCACAGCACATCACAGAGGACATTTGCGTTGTTGCAGAAAGTTTCCTTAAACAGTGTTAGTCTAAAGCACAGCCTATGTTTTTAAAAATGTAGATGCTTGGGGCTGGAGAGATGGCTCAGAGGTTAAGAGCATTGCCTGCTCCTCCAGCCATCTGTAATGAGGTCTGATGCCCTCTCCTGGCCTTCAGGCATACACACAGACAGAATATTGTATACATAATAAATAAATATTAAAAAAAATGTAGATGCTTAGTCAGGTTCAAAAGCAAAACTGGCAGAAACTGTCATTTCCAGAACACAGTGGACTATAATTTTAAAAAAAAAATTTTTTTTATTTATTATGTATACAATACTCTGTCTGCATGTATGCCTGCGGGACAGAAGAAGAAGTCACCAGAATTCATTACAGATGGTTGTGAGCCACCATGTGGTTGCTGGGATTTGTTAGACAGTACATGCCCAAGTCATGGTTCATTTCTTCTCACACTGAATGTTTGAATTTGAAGGATGAAGAAGATGATGATGACTATGTTGATGAAGGGGAGGAAGAGGAAGAAGAGGGTAAGTTGCATCAGTCTTAAGCCATTCTGAATCTAAAGATAACACATGGGATGGATTATTGAGGACTGAGTCTTATGGGGATCTCTCCTGGTCCCTTTGGTTTTGTTGTTTATCATAAGGTGCCTTGAGAAGTAGAGAAGTGTTTGGAAAGAACTTTAATTCCAGTAAAACAAAACAAAAAAGCCAGCTTGTTGCTTGAACTTAAAAAACGGAAATGAGGGGCTGGAGAGATGGCTCAGTGGTTAAGAGTATTGCTTGCTCTTCCAAAGGTCCTGAGTTCAATTCCTGGCAACCACATGGTGGCTCACAACCATCTGTAATGAGGTCTGGTGCCATCTTCTGGCCTGCAGACATACACACAGACAGAATATTGTATACATAATAAATAAATAAATATTTAAAAAAAAAACGGAAATGAAAGCCAGGCACAGTGTGTCCCAGCACTTGGGGAGCAGAGGCAGGTGGATCTCAGTGTGAGGACAACCTGGTCTACAGAGGGAGTTCCAGGACAGCCAAGGATACACAGAGAAACAAAAACAAAAGCTTTGTTCACTTTATTGCACTCTGGAATCTCATTTTGTAGAGCCTGGTACCTCAGTCCAGAGAGGAATGACTGACCCCAGTGTCCCTTAGTTTCTTCTTCACCTAGCCCTTCACACTGGTGTGTGCATAGAGTCACACTGACGTCGAGCACTTAGAGTCTTCACCTGCGTTTGCCCATGAGGTTTGTCAGGTTCTCTCAAGTTCGCTTATACTCTGAAATTGGACAACATTTTAGAGTGAAGCAATCGATAATTTTCTCTTGCCATTTTTTTTTTCTGAGATTTAAAGCTTTGTAACTTAACAAAAATTCCTTTGCTGAAACGATCCTATATACTTCCCTTTTAGAAGAAGAGGGTGTGCGGGGAGAGAAGAGGAAGCGAGATGCTGAAGATGATGGAGAGGAAGACGATGACTAGCCCCTCCAGGAGGAGGTTGCTCCTGGGTGTGCAGTAGAGCGGCCATGTCTTGTTTCTTCATGTATGATAGCTGTCCCTAGAGGTGAAGTGCAACTTTTATAGGAAAGTGCGGTTTTACTATTTGGCCTTACCATTCCGACTGAGATCTGCTTGTCTGTTAATCATAATGTATGTAGAAAAAAATTTTCATTCATCTTCCCGTTGTGAAATTCTCTAGCACTGTATTTAGATTCTGGATTTTTATAATTCATGCTTAATGTATTAGACATTTCTAGCTCATAATTAAAACATGGTTGCTTTTACACAGGCGTAGTTTGCATTTCATTCATAATGTTTTAAAGTTATTTATAAATTAACAATACACTCAGCTGTAATATGAAATGGCAAGTCTCTTGAGTGATAAAGCTGATTGGTTTTGTTTTTTTTTTTTAAGAGATGATCCAGAAATCGATAGCTTGAAGGCAGTTTTGGGGGCTGGGTGGTATGTGAGAGCTTTCCTGTCACGGTTTGGGAAGTAGATGCAGAGGGAGAGGGTTCTCCTCAGCACCACGGCCGCGGAGACTCGCAGGGGAGCCCTGCTGTGCCAGCAGGTTGCTGGTTCAGGTGTGCGCTGTCTCCAGCTGCTGTCTACCCTCACCCTCCATTGCTTCATTCCTCTCCATAGCCAAAAGAGAGCTGGCAGAGTTGTGGACACCCAGGAAAGTGTCTGGGTTTCAGACACGTGGCGTGGAAGAGATTCTGTATCAGTTGAGCAGTGTTGAGCGCTAGGCGTGTGAGGAGACAGGCTTTGCTTACTGTGAAATGCGTGAACCGTGCCAGGCTAAAGCGTTCTCCTTTCTCAGAGGCCAGACCCATCACCTGCTGATAACTAATAATGCCTTCAAGTCTAATTCCTAAGTTGTTTTCCTGGCTGATTCGGGTACCAATGCTGTGAGGTATTTATTATATTTCTGAGTAGAACCTTTAATTTTTCTTCCTATAGTTTCAAAGTGTGATCAAATACAGCATTTGATTGGAATATAATGGCAGTTGGAGGACTGTATGAAAATCAGTATTGAAGTTGGGCTTTATTTCAAGTGGTTGCCTATTAACAATAGAACATTGGAGTAAGCGTATGTGCCCCTCCATGGCCACTACGTAAACGGAGTCGACAGCTCCCTTTTCTTGTCCCAGAGGCCCCACGTTCAAGGCAATTTGTTTTTAACTCTTGGCCACTGATTTTTCTTTTCCTTTTGTATATCTTTTTTTTTTTTTTAAGTTACTGTCAGCAAATTAATTGAAATTCTTTGCCTCTACTGGGACACAGAAATTGTTCATAAGAGTGGACTGTTGCTTTTTAAATTTAAGATGTTTGACACGATATTTTAAAATAACAAGTATAAAAATATTTGCAGAGAAGCTAACAAAGTTGCATATCTGAAGTAAACGTGTTCTAGATTCTGTGCTGGTACTGGGATCTCCAAAAACTACTGTTTTCCTCATTTCAGCCTGCTTCTAGTCCCTGAGAACTCTCTCAGCACACGGTGCCAGGTTCAAAATAAATGCTTATTTTTAAAAAGGAAATCTATATATTGACTTTTTTTTAATCAATCATCTATTGTGCAATCAGAATTAGAGTTCTTGGGTTTAAAAACAATGACTAGGGCCTCCAAATAACCATTAAGACTTACTTAGCTTTGTGGGTGGTGTTTTCATGCAAATGAGCAAGGGTGGGCTCTCTGTTGTGTAGTTCTGAGTTAGGTTTTAACGCTCTGTACCGCCTGTGTACACGGTATGTTAGTCCTTATAGACTGAAATTACTGCTTTTGTGCAACTGTATTTTGAATAAAGCCACCTCAGTGTTAAACACAAGGACAGGCAAACGGATTGTGTGTTCTTTTTTTCTGACTGCTGTAATTTGAAACTGAATTGCTTTGAATAAATCGAAGAGTTGTTAATAATGATTAGCTTCAGTGTTTGATGTTCACGCTCCAGTAATACCATAAACTCTTTCAAAGTCTTTTTTTGTTTTGTTTTGTTTTGTTTTTTCGAGACAGGGTTTCTCTGTGGCTTTGGTTCCTGTCCTGGAACTAGCTCTTGTATACCAGGCTGGTCTGGAACTCACAGAGATCCGCCTGCCTTTGCCTCCCGAGTGCTGGGATTAAAGGCGTGCGCCACCATCGCCTGGCTCTTTCAAAGTCTTTAAAAACAGAAGTGCCCGGGGCTGGAGAGACGGCTCAGTGGTTGGGAGCACTAACTGCATTTCCAGAGGTCCTGGGTTCGATTCCCAGCACCCACATGGCAGCTCACAACTGTCTGTAATTCCAATTCCAGGGGACCCGACACCCATGGCAAATCACCAATGCACATAAAATAAATAAATAAAAAATTAAAATAAAACAAGTGGCGGGAAGGTTACTCAGACTTAGTTGTGACAAGAGGTACTAGGAAACTCATCTCCCCAAGGAGGGTAGTGGTGAGTCACGCCTTTAATCCCAGCCCTTGGGAGGCAGAGGTAGCCAGTTTGAGACCAGCCTGTTGTCCAGAGTTCAGAGACAGCCAAGGATACACAGAGACACTCTTGTCGCATTAACTAAAACAAAAGCTCATCTTCCTCATTAATCTTTTCAGAATCAAAAAAAAAAATCTGAATTGGCTCTAATTTACCTTTTGAGTTGCAGGTTGAGTTCAGAGTTTTTGAACTATG